AGCCTGAACGGCAGAAGCTACTTAACCAAAAGGGATGTGTTGTATGGATTATTGGACTAAATGGACCGGGTTCTTATTTTTAGGCTTAGGTTCATATTTCAGCATTGGTAATCTTCTATGTGTTTTCAAGTCTATATACTCTATCATTTTGAATGAGAACATGAAATAATAGAACCAAAAATGCTTTACAAATGTTCCATTTATAGCATAATATGATTATTTTCTTCACAATGTCTATCTAAATCAACTCTGCCACTCTTTGAAATGTGTAATAAATTGTCTTTTAACTCTAGAAGATTAATTAAAGGTTATTATGTTATGATGATGAAATGCGTGGATGTTACTTCATTTACAGAGATTCTTGAAAAGGAAGAGGATGGTCTTGAACAATTAGCGAAGAATCTTGAAAATGCTTGCCCTCTTGAAATCGTGGACAAGGCGCTTAAGAAATTTGGAAATTATATAGCTATTACTTTCAAGTTGATTATCGTTAGTATGCTTTTGAATGATTTTGTTGTATAGAATGTGTGTATTTTTTGTGTTGGGTTTTCCTGATCATGTTGGTGCTATTTGAATTTGGTCTTCTGTTGTTTTCATGACCTATGTACATGCTAGATATAACAACATCCTTTATTTGACAAAAGTTACCTATTTGAAAAAACTTTTTCACTTTGATTATAGGTTAAAGAAGTTTTACTATTCTTTTCAATTCACTGTACAAAAAAGTTTTAGAGTAATAATTCTCAATTGCCTCATCTATCTCATAGCATACCTCCTGGACTGTACTAGAAGTATTGTCTTATGTGTAAGTTTTTATTAGTTTGATACAAAATCTTTGTACCCTTTATCCAACTTAGTTATATAGATTGTTGTAAAAAAAGTTCTAACTGACAGTTGTGTGTTGTTTGCATTTTTCTAGATTGCACAACAATAACTTGCTTGACACAGGGAAAATGTTATTTACCTGAAGTTAAAGTACAATGTCTATTTATCATTTTACCAATTTAAAGAAGGAAAAAGTATATTTATTTTTCATATGCAAATCTAACTAAACAAATTTAATTTGTGAACTATGCAAACTTAGGTTACTTTAATATTCAGTTAGTGTAAAACCAATTTCATGGACACCATGGCTTCTAAATATTTTGTTTATGTTTTATTTAAAATTCTTTATACTTTATTTATTATATTTAAAATCCATAAATAACCAGTGTATATATATTTTTTAAATGATATTTTTCTCTTAAGTTCTCCAGTGTAGCAATTAGGTGGACTATGGTTTATCAATAGATGATTAAATAAATATACGAGTAACACATCACTATTGTGTGAACGCACGGATAATCAAGTTAAAATTGGTGCGAACACACAAGTTATTACATTTTTGTACAATTAAAAAAATAGAATTAAATACATTTTTGTACAATTAAAGAAAATAAAATTAAAATATATTTTTCTTTTAAAATTAATAAATTATTTTGTTAAAATATTTTTGTCTTTTTCCTATTTCATTTTTCTTATTATTTTATTCTTTTCCATTTTGTCATTTTTCTTAAGATATACATTTAAAAAAAAATATATAGAATAAAATAGTTTTATATATTATTGATATAAAATCATTTTGGTAAAACAATTATGTATTTTTTTACATATGTTTCTTTTTAAAATTAATAAAAAAATTTAGGTAAAACAAATTTGATTTTCTAATTTATATTTTTATTACATTTTAAAATAACTATATTGTTGATTAACATATTTTTATATACGGAAGAAAATATTGAAATTAATTTATTATCTTTTTTAAAAATTAAATTATTTTGATTCGATAATTTTGTCTTTTTTCCATTTCAATTTTCTTATTATTTTATTACATTTAAAAAACAAAAGCATGTGTACCACACTAGTACTCGTGTGAACGTATGGGTAACACACCAATACTGTGTGAACGCTAAGATAATCACACTAAAATTGTGCAAATACACCAATATTATGTGGATGCACATGTAGTCATATCAAAATCTGTGCGAACACATGAGTTATTACATTTTTATATCACTCTCCTTTTGGACTTTCATTTAAAATTATATTTCTACTGATTTTCAACTAATTTTAATTTTGGATATTTATTTATCTCATTTATTAAACTTTATAAATCCTTTTATTACTACAACTCTATCAATCTTAAATTTTCTTCTTCTATTTTTCACAATTGTTTTTACAAACTATGTGTTTCATAGTTTTTCTTAACAATAGAAGTTTTTAAAAACTTATACAATTATCTTACCGTCCATTTTTCCATTTTTTCCAGTAAAATTTTGATATTTTCTAATTTGTTTGAATTCTCATGATAAATTGGTGATAATTCCACAGTCTACACCAATATTCGTGCAGACACATGGTGATTCCACTAGTTGTCTATTTAAACACATGGTGAATAAATTAATGTTAGAAATAACTAAATATTAAAATAGACATAAAGTGCAAAGAAAAGATGATAAATAAATAAATTTATTATTCTTAAATAATAACTTTACTTATTACATAAAAAAGAAACTCTAATTTCCAGGCCACTTGACTTTTAGAGACTAAATGAATGGACGTTTGACTATGGATAATGAAAAAAATAGACAGACAAATTTGAGATATGACACTTTGCATCTCATAGGCCTGTCTTGAGGTTGATTAGGAGATTCCCCACAACTATTGTGGCTTCTTCTCAATATTTGTTGAAATGAGTAGTCCTCCCCATTCGCTAATCGTTCCTCGTGTGAGGTTGTATGCAACTGGTAATTTTTTTCTTCTTTATTATTGAAACGTTTCTCTTTTGGAACTATTTGATCTATTTCAGTTCTTCTTATTCACATATTTTCTTCTTCTGACCTCTTTTCTTTGGATATGATTTTATCTTGGTGGAAAAATCTGGTCATATTTCCATTCGTTAATAAATTTTTGATATCATCCTCCAATTGTATGGAGTCCTCTATGTTATAGACCCGTTACATCACTGAAAGTGGCAATATCAAGATTTATCCACGTTGGGACGTTCTTAGAGTGGTTATGGTGTTTTAACTTGTTATTCTCTAAATTCTGCATTGATGTATTCCTGTAAGATACACTCTCTTGTTCAACAATTTGTAATCTCTATATCGGGAGGTGGTGCTCTATTGGTATCTCTGTTTGTTTGTGTATCTTTCTTGGTTTTACCCTTCTTTTTCGCTTACTTGTTTGGTTTCTTTGTTTTCCCTACTATTTTTTTTTACCTTCTCAACCTTATTTATTAAATTGCTTTAATGACCTCTTGGTTTTTCTCATATTATATGTACTTTTTGCCCTTGATAATAGGTCATTGAAGATTTTAAGGGCCCTGATTCCAATAGTTTTGACGAATATGGATCCTAGTTGGAGTTCTAGACTTAACATGTATTTCTTCATCTCATCGTCAATGTCCATGACTAGTATCGCTTCTCTGTTGGACCTTTTAATGTAGGATCGTAGTTGTTTGCCTTTCTCTTGTTTGGATCATAGGCTTTCCAATGACTTGGGTTGCCTTTTCGACGTTGTGAAATGCTCAAAAAATGAGCTCTACATGAGGTCCAAATTTGCCAAAAGTATTGGAATCTAAATAACATGTCTTTAGTGCACATCACAACTTCAAAAAGGCAACACAAGTGAGTGGAAAGCTTGAGATCCATTAGACAAGAGAAAAAGACGAGTCACTAAGAAGGAGAAAAAATGTAATTTATTCTTATTTTAGAGAAAGAGAGTGCAACTTTTTCTAATGTGTTTTATCAAAGAATGAATATAAATGTACAATTAATTCACCTTTAAAGAACATCTAATTCCATGAGTACGAGACAACATCCTACTTATTCACTGTTAAAAGGTGAAATTCTGACTAATAAATTATTAGACAAAAGAAAATAGCCTAAAATGTTAGTCTTTTTATTTTTATTTTTTCTAATTATTTAATCCCTATTTCAGAATTTAATTCCCTGGTCCCATATAAATGTCACTTTTTGGTGATGTGGTTGAACAAATGGTGACGTGGCTTAACTTAAAGTGACATTAAAATTATTATTTATTTGATTAACCTATTATATCTAAATACAAAAAAAATCAATTAAATTAAAAAAATATTATAATTTAAAAAGAAAATTTCATAACTTTAAATTACTAAATTGTATCATTAAACAAATTTTTTATATTTCATCGTTAATGCCCTATGAAATGTATTCAAGTTGTTAATGTAATCAATAAAAGAGAGATTTTTTGAATGCAAAGCAAAAAAATAAAAAACTCATCTACCCTCCTTCCTTCTTTCTTCTTCATTAGGAGTCAATAAATTTGTATTGATAAGAGATCAAAATTTCATTGATGACAATCAATAAATTGAAATTAAAACAAAAGAAATACAAAAAAATCTTTAAACCTTGGATTTCAAAATCCAAAACCTTTCTCATTCCTCTTCACTCCTCTCTCTCATTTGAATATAAATTATTATTACTAAATTACGAAAGTTTTATTTAGTTTTAAAGGTATGTCTAGAATAATTATTAACAAAAATAAAATGTGAAAAGTAAAATTCTATAAAATGCGAGATACAATGTTAATTTTTTATATTAAATTGAATTTGTAAGAATTAAGATTTATAAAGAAATTTATATGATATAAAGCGCGTGTGAGCTTTGTACACATCGTCAATGGTGGAACCAAGCTGACCTGGTGTGCATGAGAAAAACCATAGAAACTCCATAAACTTTCTTCTCTTTCAAATCTTCCAAATCACAAAATCTTCAAAAATCCACAAAGTTTCATCAAAATCCCCTTTTTCAGTTTCAGCTAGGTTCAGTTTTCACCCATCATTGATCCGTTTCAGGGTACCTTGGATTTCGATTACCCTTTTGTGCATATGCATCAAAGGTCAAATCTTTAGTACCATCTTCCATGACCCTTGTATGCATATGCAACAAAGATCATCATTCAATTTTGAGGTTTGATTCATGGATAATCATGGGCATCCACCTCCATATGGATATCCAAACCCATATGCATACCCTCCTCCATATCCCAATCCATATCCATATCCATATTCATCATATCCACCTCAATCTCATGATCCGGCTGATCCACGTCCACCTCCACCACCACCACCACATGCAACCACTCCTTATTCACCGTATCCACAAAATTCTTCATACCCCTTCAACTACAACTACTCCTATCCACCACCTCCTCCATCAAACCCTTCAGAGTATCCTCCTCCTCAACAATCTCATGCTTATCCTTATCCTTACCCTTACCCTTACTCTTCATACCCTTATCCATATCCTTACCAAGCCCTTCCAATCAAAGATGATCCAAAACCAGACTCTCCTCATACTTCTCCTTACCCTACTTTGAGTGATCTTATGAACAATACTCAGATATCTGATAACAGACCAAATACACCTCCTTTATTGGCACATTCCAATTCTGTTTCTACTGAAGAGAGGCAAGAAGATTTTTGTGGTCATTCTAGTCATCATTCCTTTTCAGGTTTTGAGAATTCTTACTATGATATGGGGGGTTCACCCAAACTTTCAGCTGCTTCGTCTGATGACTCTCTGTATAACCAGAGTTTGCAGATTGTTCCGGTTCAGAGTAAAGGCTCTCTGAAGTTTTTGCTTTTGCATGGTAATTTAGATATATGTATTCATGGAGCTAAGAATCTTCCTAATATGGATATGTTTCATAAGACTTTAGATGATATGTTTGGCAAATTTCCTGGTAATGTGGGGAATAAGATCGAGGGAACAATGAGTAGGAAGATTACTAGTGATCCTTATGTTTCGATTTCTTTGTTAAATGCTGTAGTTGGTAGAACTTTTGTGATTAGCAATAGTGAAAATCCTGTTTGGGAGCAACACTTTTATGTTCCTGTTGCACATAATGCTGCTGAAGTGCATTTTGTTGTTAAGGATAGTGATGTGGTTGGTTCACAACTTATTGGTGTTGTTGCGATTCCGGTGGAGCAGATATATACGGGTGAAAAGATACATGGGTCTTACCCTATCCTTAATAACAGCGGGAAGCCTTGTAAGCAAGGTGCTGTGTTGACTGTTTCCATTCAATTCATTCCAATGGAGAAGCTGTCCATTTATCATCAAGGAGTTGGAGCGGGGCCTGATTATATTGGTGTGCCGGGAACATATTTTCCGTTGAGGAAAGGCGGAACTGTTACTCTATATCAAGACGCTCATGTTCCGGATGGATGCCTCCCTAATGTCATGCTTGATAATGGAATGCATTATGCTAATGGAAAGTGTTGGGCTGACGTCTTTGATGCGATACAGCAAGCAAAGCGTTTGGTTTACATTACAGGGTGGTCGGTGTGGCACAAAGTTAGGTTGCTAAGGGATGCCGGTCATTCTCATGAAACGGATTTCACCCTTGGTGATCTTTTGAGGTCCAAGTCTTCAGAAGGAGTAAGAGTGCTTCTCCTTGTTTGGGATGACCCCACCTCAAGAAGCATTCTTGGTTATAAGACAGTAAGCAATGCAATTTATTATATGTCACCTGTTATTGCGTCTTTGCTGCATGTCGTTTTCTACAAATAAAACTTGTTTGCAGTTGGATTAGGGACTTTTTGCTTCTTTGCTTGTGATTTTTTTCATCCAGTATTCTCTCTTTATTATCTGTCATATTAACTTTTTAGTTCTCATATCTAAATGGTTATTTTGATTATTTACTGGAGCGCACTTTGCGGAATGATCTATGAACCTTAATATATTTCAAGTTTGATTCAGAATCTCGGGACATTTTTATACATTCCTTACTGTAGGGTTATGATTTGCCCTTTTGTTTTAATTATATAAAAAATCTGCTTTACTTTCAGGACGGTGTCATGGCAACTCATGATGAGGAAACTCGACGATTTTTCAAACACTCTTCTGTGCAAGTGCTACTTTGTCCTCGCATTGCTGGAAAAAGACACAGTTGGGCCAAGCAAAAGGTTTGGTTTGACAATAACAGAGTGAAGATAATTGAAACTATTTGTTTTACTTCATTCTTTGTTTGCTCTTTTTATTAAGATTCTATATGTTTTTACATATTAGTTTGGTTTTGAGAATTCCGCATAAAATTTCTTTCAATTACCAGGAAGTTGAAACAATATATACACATCATCAGAAGACTATAATTGTGGACGCTGATGCTGGAAATCACAGAAGAAAAATTGTAGCATTTATTGGTGGACTTGATTTGTGTGACGGCCGATTTGATACTCCTCATCATCCCCTCTTTAGGTCGCTGCAGACACTGCACAAGGATGATTATCACAACCCTACTTTCACGGTAATATCTTAATTTAAACCCCCATTTGTTTACATGATCATCACTTCACTAGATTCTCTCGTCAAACATTTTAAAAAGCAACTAATGATGGGGCTGCTTTATAACAGGGTAGTACTGGTGGCTGTCCGCGGGAACCATGGCACGACTTGCATTCTAAAATTGATGGTCCAGCAGCTTATGATATTCTGACCAATTTTGAGGAGCGCTGGTTAAGAGCTGCAAAACCTACAGGGATAAAAAAGTTTAGGAGTTCGTATGACGATGCGTTGCTCAAGATAGAAAGAATTTCAGATATTATCCCTATGTCTGGCGCTCCTAGTGATGGTGATGATAATCCTGAAGCTTGGCATGCTCAGGTATTTAGTCAATTAGTACCGGAATATATTTAGATTTTCTGTAAATGATTATTTTTCTCATTTGCACTACTTCGAGGAAACTATTGATTGTGTATACCATGGAATGCAGATATTTCGTTCAATTGATTCAAGCTCTGTCAAGGGATTTCCCAAGGAGCCAAAAGATGCATCAGAAAAGGTGAATGGAAAGAGTTTTCATTTTCTTGCTTGATTTCGATTCGTCATTTTTTCGCCTTCATATGTGTGACGGGAAGCGTTAAACATAATTGTTTTTACAGAATCTAGTATGCGGGAAGAATGTGCTGATAGACATGAGTATACATACAGCATATGTGAAGGCCATTCGCGCCGCGCAGCATTACATTTACATAGAGAATCAATATTTCATTGGTTCTTCATACAATTGGAGCCAAAATAAAGACATTGGTATGGAACTTCTTTCTAAACACGTGTTGTATTGTTGCTTGCCTTAAAGAATAAAGGCACATGTTATATTTTACTAACTAAACATCTCTTTTGATGTTAAAATGACTTTCATGTTTTTGCAGGTGCTAATAATTTAATTCCAATGGAGATTGCGCTGAAGATTGCTGAAAAAATAAAGGCAAATGAGAGGTTTGCAGTATACATAGTTATTCCAATGTGGCCAGAGGGTAATCCAACAGGTGCTGCCACTCAAAGGATTCTATTTTGGCAGGTATGGTTCATCTCACAGTGCGAAAATTATAGAGACTAATACGAGTGCTTAATTCTTGTCTTGCTTTTCTTACCCTGAAATGTTTTATCAATTTTTTTGCAGCATAAAACAATGCAAATGATGTACGAGACAGTTTACAAGGCTTTGGCTGAAGTTGGGCTTGAAGCAGCGTTCTCTCCACAAGACTATTTGAACTTTTTCTGTCTTGGAAACCGAGAAGCCATAGATATGCATGAGAATATCGTTGTGTCTGGAATTCCTCCCCCACCAAATACTCCACAAGTATGGACTCTATGTTCCCCCTCCCTCCCTTTGTTAAAGTGTATTTACTTTTTTTCTCTAAAAATTCCTGAAATGAGTGGCTTATGAGTAGGGCAAGTGTCTTAATGCAATTGTATTTTATGTTGGTGTTGTTTGGCCAGGTAAATAGTCGAAATAACCGACGGTTCATGATTTATGTTCATTCAAAAGGCATGATTGTTGATGATGAATATGTGATATTGGGGTCAGCAAACATTAATCAGCGCTCTATGGAAGGAACAAGGGACACTGAGATTGCAATCGGAGCTTATCAACCTCAATATACATGGGCGAAAAAGCAGTCTTATCCACGTGGACAGGTATATATTTTATAAGCTATTGGCTTCTCATATTTGCTTAAGAAAACATTGTTTACATACCAAATTTAAGTTTTAGTAATGGCATTTGAGCTTTTTCTCTTGGTTGATTTAGACTTATGACTTTCAGAAACAATGAAAGTGCTGACATTTAAATCTGTTTCTGAAAATTGTTAAAGAAAATGGCGAGACATGTATTGAATTTATATTCTATCATGTTTATTAGTATGAAAACAGAAAATATGGCGCAGTATTCACCAAAAGTGGGCAATAGTGCCCGTTGCCCAAAGAGGAGGTGCTAGCTGCCCACCTACTTACTGTGTGTGCGCGCCCGTTTATCACAATGCATGTCCATTTTCGGGTTACATCGCTCGTTACCTATTATGGTCACCCATTCATCGAAATGTCCACCCATCTATGAAGACGTGGGAATGGTGTGCCCTTTCTCAATAATGGAACAAAAAGGGCCACCTTCCCAAACGTTATAGGGGAAATAACTGCCAACTTCCCATGCTCTTGAAGGAGGAATAGGGTAGTTACGGGTTTCTTGAGTTCTAAGATTCATTCCGAAGAGGTTCTTATAAATATCTCAACTCTATGGTTGAGAGGGACATTGAATTCTCTTTGAAAAACACCATAAAGCAGAGCTTTACACCTTCCCTGTGTGAGTTTTCTCTAACACCACAACCCTAAAAACCTCTGACAACCCTTAACTACAAGGGGTTGTCACGTATTGTACTTTTAGCATGTACAATTAGCAACCTCAATATACGTGGGTGAGAATAGAGTCTTATCTACGCGGAAAGGTATATATTTTATAGTTATATGCTTCTCATATTTTCTTAATAAGACGTTTTTATACCAAATTTAAGTTTCAGTTATGGCATTCAATCTTTTTCTCTATGTTGTTTTAAACATCTGATGGCTTTCCTAAACATAATGGAAATCCAAGCAAAAAAAATTAAGCTATTTCCTTTACTATCCTTTATTGGTTTTGGGTTTTTAATAAAAAATATAGAGGCAACACAGTGTTGTCAAATAGCAGCGCATGAATCTGCTATAAAAATTGCGACGCTATCGTAGTTTGGCTACAAGGACAATAGTGTAAGCTTTTCTAGTTTGGCTATAAGGAGCAATTCAGGTGAGAATGAGAACACTTTGTTACTGTTAGAAATGAGAATAATCAATTATAGCCTTTTGACTTAGCTGGGAGAAATGAGAATGAGAAATGAGAACACTCAATCATAGCTATTTCACATAGCTATTTGGCTATGGTTGATGGCTATTCGGCTTCGGCTAACTGCTATTCGGCTTTAGCTTTTTGCCCATTACACTATCTGCGATTTCAAATAGCAGAATCACACTGTTTTCAACATAGCTTTTAAGGTTTTAAGAGTTTTAAATTTAGCTTTTGAGTTCTGTGAAAATACTTGTGTATTTTTTTTTGCCGTATCAGTTGCAATACATGGTGTTTTTCTAAGTATAATATTTCTACCTCTTTTCAATCATAAAATGTATTATGTACTAAAAAAACAATTTGTCTGTGAAACTTTATGTAGGTTCATGGATACAGAATGTCACTTTGGGCAGAACATACGGGCACCGTCGAAGACTGTTTCTTACAACCAGAGAGCCTGGACTGTGTGAGAAGGGTTAGAACGATGTCTGAAATGAACTGGAATCAATTTGCATCAAATGATTTGACAGAGATGCGAGGACATCTAATAAAGTACCCTGTAGAAGTTGATAGAAAGGGTAAGGTTAGATCTCTTCCTGGTCATGAAGAGTTCCCTGATGTTGGAGGAAAGATAATAGGATCATTCATTGCCATTCAAGAGAATCTAACCATTTGATCAGTTTTTTACATTCCCATTGATGGTTATTAGAATAGGATGAAAGATACAAGCTAGTGATATAGAGCTTCTACCGTAGCAGGGTCCAGGATCCGGTATCTAGTATCTGACACATGTGGTTGCGTTCAATTATTTCATTTTCTCAAATTGTTCAGTCCCAACGTGTTAGTGTCGGTGTTAGTATTATATCTGGTGCTTTTGGCCGTGGGGAAGAATCATTAGAATAGATTGAATTGAAATTACAAAATACAAGTTAAACAATTTTGGAATGTATGATGATTGAGGAAACACTATATCCAATGTATAGTTTTATTTGATGTGGTCTCTTATCAGCACCTCCATTGCACCCTGACATTGTTTGCCATAAAAAAAGGCACCGCAGTTAGCCTATAGGCATAACATTGTGAAAGAGGATATTAACTTTATGGTTTGTTTTTGTTTTTGTGGTTCGCTGAGTTAAAGGATTATCTTGTGTGTTTTGCACGTGATATGTTAAGCCATTAGCCATGGAAAAACTATTTCTGAATGATTGTTGCATCTCTATTAGTCGGTTTGTGTAAGATACACATAAATATGTGCCTAATGCTCACTTAACTAGTAGGTATCCTACATCAATCAAGTAAAATAAGTTTGTTCATGCATGATATTTTGTTTCTTTCATGTATAATGATCCGGATTAGGACTTTTCTTTATGGGTTATCAGACTCACAACATTAAACGTGAGGTTTTCAGGTTAGAAATGTGTGTATCTTAAATAGATATGTTTTTTTTTTATATTTAAATTTATATCAAATACTCTAAGGTTTGGAGACCTTAGAACCTTCCTCAAAGAACACATGTCACTTAGTAGAGATGTCAATAAATTGTTATCTAACGACTTAGGAGGGTCGGAGACATATACTTTTCATGTTGTCCTCTTTACGCTTGGGCTCGAGTCACCAAAATTTTAAGAGAAATTAATATATCAACCCTCTAATTTTATTTATTTCAGTTTTGTTCTTGATGAGATACAAACAATTTTTGAACGAAATTTTCGGTAGAAGAGATGAAATTTCTAATACAGAATAAATTTCTGGTATACCCCTATCAAATTTTTGACAGTGTATTTGAAATTTCCGATAAATCGAAATTTCAAATTTACGTGGCAGTACTGAAAATTTGAGTTATACTAAAATTTTTGATAGGTTGTGTATTTAAATTTTTTTAACGGTTGAGATTTTGTCGACGTATTTGGAGGGCTCTGATTGCACCAACACATTTGTGTGGTATAAAATGCATCACCATTTGTATAAATAGGGGTTTCAGGTTATAGGGTAAGACATCTCAAAAAATGCCTCTTCTTGAGTATCTAATTAACGCAGAAGTGTATTACAACGGATGCAACCCTGCTATTGAATTCAAGATTCCAGATGACTCCGAATCCCTTACCACCTTGAAAGAAACATTGAATGGTTTGCTGCTTGATTCTGATAATGGAAGGGTGACAAAGGTCGAGTTTCGGGAGGATTTGATTGATACAAATGGAAGAGTGAAATACAACCTAATCGAGTTGAAGAATGATGCAGATGTGAAGGCCATGTAGAAATTATTTCGCCGTAGGATAACTAAAGGTCCGATCGAGTTGGATGTGGAGAACCGAAGATCCGTTGCCGACATAATGAAGATGCTGAAACGTCTAGAGTCATCCAGTAGTGCCTAGATTTTCATGTTTAGTTGTTTTAAGGTTATGTTTGTTGTACAATGTTATGTTATGTTCATCATCGAATCGAAACATGTAATCGCCAAAAGATTATGCAATAAATAAGATGTCTGTGTGTCACAATATATATATATATATATATATATATATATATATATATATATATATATATATATATATATATATATATATATATATATATATATATATATATATATATATATATATATATATATATACACAACGATAATAAAAAAATCTACATAGGTCCTCTACGGGTTACGTCGACTAACCTAGCTAAACTTGTATAGACCTCGCCATCAGGGTTTATCAAATCCATGAAGCTATATAAATGAACGACAAAACTGTAGATGGCTGTCCTGATCACCTACGGGAGGTGGAGGTGATAGTGGTGGCTCGGCAGAAACCCTGACACGTGAAGGCCCCGGAACATCAGATGTTGCAACCAGTGGTGTGACACGAGAGTGTGGAAACTCTCAATCTCGAACGGCAGGGTGCGTGAAACTGAGCTACTGCTCAACCATCCGTTTCCAGTGAGACCCGGTTAGAGGACGTCGATCAGTCCATAGGTCGGAAGCTTGTGCCTCATCAGCCCGTTCCTGAGCTTCCGCTCTATCAGTCTGCCTGCCCACAACGGTACCGTCTTTGCCTCTGGTCCTCACTGCAAAATAAGAAAAAAATTAGGAAAATATGAACTACCGGAAATTTCAAAATTTCAGGTATTTTTTTTTAAATTGAATTATTGGAAATTTTAAAATTTCCGGTATCTTGTAAAGTCTCGGGAATTTTGAAATTTTCGGTACGAAAATACTAGAATTTTTGAAAATTTTGGTACAAAATATCGGATATTTCACAAATATACCGGAAATTCCTTACTGTCTCACTAAATTTTCGGTATCGCCTTGAAATTTCCGGTATCGCCACCGAAATTTGAAAAATTTCGATTGGTCACAGAAATTTTGAATTTCTAGAAAATATTTGGGCCTGGGTGTAACACCCAAATTCTACCCAACAATTATATAAAATCAAAGTTACAAAATTCTGACAACTGAATCAGGATGCTACAAATTCAACTTTAAAACAATGACATTCATTATAGATACATAACACATTAAGCTGGGATGAACCAACAACAACATAAATTAATCTTTTAAACCCAACAACTTTCATAACTTCGCAGCGGAATCAAATATTCAACTTAAAAGAATATATCATCTTTGTCCAACTTAAACAACTTCAAATAATAAGTATTTAACAAACAACAACTTAAGGTTCAATAAACTGAAATAATAACAACAATAAAACAACAAGCATTCATCCCCCCCGAATGTTACGTATCAGAGCAATGACACCGACTCGAACTACTGAAGGTAAACAACCTTCACTCTGGATTACCTGCACATTACCAATATCGGGGTAACATTCAAACTGAAGGGGTGAGATATCGAAAAATATAATTTACTTGCTACTAGCATACACTGCCTGTCATCCACTTAATAATTTACTACTAGTTACTACTTTAATCTTCTGCCAACTTATTCTACTAAATGATATCCGCTAATCATATACATATATTACTATGATTTGCTGCCAATTACTATCTCTGCCATTTCCAATGCTCCCGCTACTTTAATAATTCTGGTACTAAATTATATCTACTAACAAGTATAAAATTAGTTAATCAGTTCTAATGTCTTAATATAAGTTCTTAATTTATTACTAATTATTGGTTTCATTATAATATTATTCTTCATGCCTACAGGAAGCAAAACAAAACAATTAACTAAAACAGTATAATAAAAATTAAGCCGGTCACTTGAAACATGGTGTGCCACTCGACACACCCCTCATAATTTAGTGTGGTGCTCGACACAATATTATCCCCCTCGACACAACATACTTCTGTGCCATTCGACACAGTCTGTGTGCCCCTCGGCACACCCAAACTTTCCAGTTTTTTCTGTCACATAGAATTTTCTGCAATCGATTCTTATACTCAATTTTTACCTTTGATTAACAGCAATAAAACATTGCAACAACATCAGTGTTCACAGACAACCAATTTTATACTGATTTATAGCAAGAACACAACAATAATTCAACACAGTATTCAACATTGTTTACACATACATAATAAATTTCGCACAGCCCAATTCCCACGTAACATGTATCATATACCCAATTATAGAGTCATAACTCCACCCTTACCTTGGATTGAAGGTTGCTCTACAATTTTCTGATCTAATTCCCCTTTGCCTCTTTTCCTCTTCTCTGTAACTTCTATGTTCTCTTTCTCTCTTCCAATCCTTATTCCTCTTCTTCTTGACAAAACCTATTTTTCCTTACTGTCACATCTAATTTCTATTATATAACCAAACTCAATAATAATAGAATTATTTCTATTGGGCTTAATTAGCACACCCCCACTTTACTACATACCACCATATAAAATAAGCCCACGCAAATATTTTATTAATTTCAACATTATTATTATTATTATTAATTAATTAATTAATTAATTAATTAATTAATTAATTAATTAATAATCTAACAACTAATACCAACAATCCTGAACATCTCACAACTTCAACAAATAATCCAAAAATAATTTAATTAAATAATTAATTAAATTAACGGGCGTTACACTGGGTAATTTGGATTTTCATTTCATTTGGAGGGTGTCATGTATAAGAGGGGGATGCTATGTTAATTCCTCAAATTTTAGTGAGTTGGATGTTAGTCTAAACTGAAACATACAAGAGGGTTGTTCATCACGCCCTATGTATTTCTCGCAAATTCTTTGAAAATTGGAAAAAGCCCATGTTCAGATGTTACCTTTCAAACACACACATTACATTATTATTTAACCTAAAAATGAAAGGAGTGTGTTTAAAAGTTATCTTCTGAAAAATGTTTGAAAGTTATCTTTTAGACACACCCATTACACTTTGTTGTTCATTTGATCTCAATCACTAAAGTCAAAGGAGTTTGTATGAAAGGTAAATTCTACACATTGTCTAGAAGTTATCTCTTGGACACACCAAAAAATACCAATTTGGAAAAAGGGTGGATTTAGAAGTTTTTTTTTTAAAACAAAGGTGGGTTTGGAAGTTAACTTTCACAAAAGGTAACTTTGGGTTTTTATAGGGTCTGTGAGAAATGTATAAAGTATAATTAACAATCCCTATATAAATATTGATCAAGTGACTTCAAACACAAGGGGATGATGGATTTTGATATAAAAAGGTTTCAAAAGCTTGATTAATAAAAATATTTTAAA